AAAGTTGTATTTATTTTTACAATTAAATCTATGATCCATTTTTAATTAGTTTTTGTACAAGATGTGAAGTTCAGATCAAAGTTAATTTTTTAACCTATGGTTAAGAGGATAAAAAAATAAGCTATAGGCTGGGAGAAAGTATTTGCAAAGCAATTGACAAAGGACTCTTACCTAGAATATGTAGAGAGCTTTCAAAACTCAACAGGCAAAAAAACCAGTCCAATTATAAACTGGACAAAAAGGGCATGAAGAAATATTTCACTGAAATATTTCATTCATGTTTCAATAAACTCTGGATGGCAAATAAATAATGAAAATACTTTTTACACTATTATTATAGAAATGTACATTAAGAACATGATAAAAAATTACTACACATCTATTAAAACTGCTAAAATAAAAAATGACAGTATCAAATACTGGTAAGGGTACAGAGAAACTGGATCTCTTATACATTAATTGTGAGAATATAAAATGGTAGAGCTACTCTAAAAAAGTGTGTTGGTTTCTTTAAGAACTACATCATACAATGTAGCAATTGCACTCCTGGCCATTTATCTTAGAGATAACAAAAGTTATGTCCACGCAAAAACCTGTGCATGATCATTCATAGCAGGCTGTAATAGCTCAAAACTGTAAACAACCAAAATGTTATCTTCCCTGGTCTCATCCTATCAATAAACGATGCTGTGGTTCAACAGGCCTTTGTGGTACTTCTCATGTTTGCAAGACGCCCTTGAGCAATAACCATTAGAAAACTACACAAGTGTTTATTTCTTGCAGGACAATGGGGTGAGGGAATGGGAAGCACACGTGCACATGGGCCTGGGGTTCTGCTTTTATTGAGGTTGAGGCTGGGAGCCTAGGGTTTCACTGGCTCACTCTTTATTGGTGAATTTAAAACACAAAAACCAGAATTTGAAGCTTGGGAAGAGTAAAAACAAATGACCCAAAGGGCCCAAGTTCTTGAAATCAACCAAAATATCTAAAACAAAGGCATCTCAGAGGAGGGAGATGGCCTGGTTCTTTATCTAGTCTGGTGGTTGGCAATGTTTTTTGGAGATAGCCATCCTTGAAGTGAATGCTTCTTTGACGTGGATGCCTTAGCAACCAAAGCTGAAGTCAGACACTTACATTACAAAAAGAATAAAAACCTGTCAAAGTTTACACTACAGAGGTCTAAGAGCTGAATGGCCAAACAAATCATACGACATTCATACTATGAATTAATACTTAGCAATAAAAAGGAACAAACTACTGATACACACAACAGCTTGGGTGAATCTCAAGAGTATTATGTTGAGTGACAAAGCCAAACTCAAAAAGTCATGTACCGTATAAGTCTATTTATGTAACATTATAAAAAGTGACAAAGTGAGAGACATAAAGAAAAGATTAGTGGTTGCCAGGGATTACACAGTAGGGGAGAGGGAGTAGGAAGGTGTGACTACGAAAAGGTTGCATGATCTTTGGGATGATAGATTAGTTCTGCATTTTGATGGCGGTGGGCGTTACACAAATATACACATGTGATCAAATGATACAGATCTACACACATACTTCTATCAATATCAATTTCCTGGCTTCAAAGCATACTACGGTTATACAAAATGTAAGCAATGGGGGAAACTGAGTGAAGTGTACACAGGAATCTACACCATCTTTGCAACTTTCCTGTGAATCTACAATTACTTCAAAATAAAAAGTTTTTTAAAAATGCAATTAATATTAAGTCATCCAAAAGTTTGGGAAACATGAGAGAACTTATAAATTTGTTGTAAAGGGTGATGTAAGGCTAAGTGAACCCAAAGAGCAATATGGATGATCATGATGCAGCCTAGAAAGAGCTGGAGAGTTTGTTCAATTTCCTAAAACAGACAGTTCAAACATATATTGAGTACCCAGTATATGCAACCTGGTTCTATAAATAGTCATGGGATTAAGAAAGAGAAATTAATCTGCTAAGAAGATAAGATAGAATAACTATTAAAGGCATAAAGTCCTCTGCAAAAGCAGTTTCCATTTGCCTGGAATACTCTTCCATTTTTCTGGTTTGTTCTTACTCATCCTTGAACTCTCAGTTCATTGTCACTTCTTCCGGGAAATCTCCCTAACTCTCCTCATTAGATCAGATTCCCCTACCATATCCTTGTAACAGCATCCTATATTTTTCATTCATACACTAACCTCCATTCACAAACAACGAACTGTGTGACAACTTGGTATCTACTCCTCCCACCCCGCCCCATTAGGCTAAAATCTCCCAAAGGGCAGAAACAGGTCTGTGTAGCTTGCCACTATAATCCCAAACCAACACAATGCCTGGTAAATGACAAAAGGTCAAAGTACAAATGATTAAGCAGACAATAAGTTACTGGGGTTTTGAAGAACCCTAGATCACTTCATCTTGAGAAAGCCAAGTTATATGGGTAGAAGGTTTATGCAGAAGGATAAGCAATCTTATATCCAAAGCTGAAAATGAAATGTCACCCATTCTGCAATAAAAACCCACTAAAAATTGAAGCAGGGATATGGCATGTCCAATGTGTTCTACAGGAAAATCAATGTGGAGAATGAACTTGAACTGAGAGAGTAAGACATTAGAGGCAGTAAAAATACTTGAGAGGACACTGTATGAATGCAGGCACAAAATGTTAGGGCCCTGAAAGAGAGGGTGACCATGGGAACAGACAATTGTGAGAAACACTAAGAATAAAGAGCCAACAGAACTTAAGAACTAATCAGACATAGGGGCATAAAAGTGGAAAGAGTCTATGATAAGTCAAGGGGTTTACAGTGAATAATCAGTTAAAGAGAGTAAGTAGCATTAATAAAAATGGGAAGTCATAACCAAGTCCTCTTAGGCGATGGAATGTGCTTTACTGGAAGTCATGGATAACATCCACACAATTGAAGACTTGAGACCAAATGGAGAGAAGTCAAGGCTGGTAATGTACATGTGTGAGCTGATCACAGATAAGGTTACAAGAATGAGTAAGATCTTCCAGAGAGGAGAAGATAAAGTAGGCCGTGAATAAAATCCTTTAAAATGATATGATTTGCCCCTTGCTTAAATTAATTTATCAAACTATAGAGTCACTCAGACTGTGAGGTCCATGAGGGCATACCCTTGAATTCTCTAAAGTATGCATTACAGGGTGTTGTACCTAACTGGTGCACAATAAGTAACCCATTAAAAGAATCAGTTATTTTAAAGATACTTGCTGATTAATATTTCCTGTTTCACCTTACTTTGTATTTCAAAAACTTGAAAGGAATGGCCTTCACTTTAAATTAGTATAATCAATGACTTTAGACCATTTAAGTCATTTATCCAAAGATACGACTTACCAAAGCTGTAGGACTAAAGAACAGAGAAACCAGACTTGGGGACTGTGAAAATCTTTAAGAAAAAAAAAAAAAGTCCCCAATGAGACTAGGGCTAAAGAAAATCTCCACTAGAAGTAGAGAATACTCTTCAAGAAGTTTCTGAATGAAAGTAATCAAGAAATATTTACTGAGGAAGTGAAATAAATCAAAATTTTCAATTGTATGTACTATACAAGTTGACAATGTACAAAAAGTAAACAAGCTTCAGGTGAAATGAAAGATAAACAAGGTAATACAAGGGAATTGAGAACAGTGGAGATGCATACTTTCTTAAAAACATATGAGAGAAAAGGCATTGGCCTGCTCTCCCACAAAACATTCCTGGATATTGCAGTCAAAGGTGGAGTAATAAGCTAATCTGATTCATTATTTAGGTGAACAGTATTTCCTAGTTGCAGTTTAAAAATAAGACAAAGGACTACTAAAACGGATTAGAGGAGAAATTTAACAGCCTGCCCCTCGAAAGTAAATGATCAAAGTTGCAGTATGCCATAACGCTCTAACTCTAAATTATAAGCAAATGTCTGTCCTAGGTGCTTCCTGATAGCCGAGTGTATTTGTGGGAGAAGCCAGGGAAGAGAAAAGAAACCAGTTGGAGTCACAGACTCTAGGAACCTGACAAGTCATCTATAATCCAATTACCCTCTTAACATCAGAGTGCCTTCCTCACGTCTAGAAGATGGTCAACCAGTGTACGCCTGCTTGTTTCCAGCAATAGCAAAGAGACTATGTATAAACTGACAATTCAGAATTAGATGGATCTAATTTGTTGCAAAACCCTTCGAAGTTATCGCAAAGTAACTTTCACGTCTGGTCCTGGATCTCTCAATAGCAACATAACGAAAGCCGTGTTTTGTTTTTGTTTAAGCTTAACAACAACTAGGTATTACTTCCTGGCATGTCAATATGTTCTCTTCTAACAGGAAAATTGGATTCTGCGCCCCCCCCCAAGGTCCCCCCTTAAAGGAAAAAGGAATGCCAAGCACAAGTTCCTTTAGATTCAGGGCTGCAACCTCCCCAGTAGAGAAAAGGGTCTTAACTAACTACACACATCAGATGTTGTAACTGATATGTAATCCCCACTGCCAAGAGGCAAGCTGCTCCAGCCAGTGTCCAGGTGCTGGGACGAGATAGAAGCCACACAAACCTGGCCTGGCAGCTCTGAGGCTGTGGAGAACAAGAAGCCCGCATCCCTTCTTGCCAAAGCCGCGAGGGGCACGGTAGGCGCTCCTTCCCAGGCCACCGGCAAGCCCCGCGCCTCACAGGACAGAACCCTTGGCCCCGGAGAATTGGCATTGCTAAGAAGAAAGCTCAGTGAAGCTCCTGGCAAATCCCAAACTGCGCGGCCAAACCAGCTGCCCGTTCGCCCAACCACCCGGCCCGTTGGATGTGGTACTGAGAACCGGCACCGGTGGGAGCTCCGGGAATAGACGTCTGTGGCTCGGCCCGCGTTCCGTCTATCGCACTCGCCCACCCTCTTTCATTCCCCCGCCCAAAGCTGAACCGCGGGTGACCCTAGCTGGTGATGCCCCAAAGGCACACCGCGTTTGGGGTGAATGCTGCGGGCCGGGCCCGAGCTCCCAGGCTGGCGGCTGCAGCAGGTCACTCACCGAGAGGACACTCATGCGGATTGGGGTCTCCAACAGGCACGCCATCTTGAGCCTTCCCACCCGGCTGCGGCGGACGCCGGCGCGGGGGCCGGCACTTTCGACAACAAACTATTGGGCCAACGACAGACACCTCTACAGAATGTCAGGCAGGTAGACGAGAACAGATCACTCTCTAGACACCGCTGAAGTACCACCAGAGCCCGCAGAAGGGAGAACAAAGGGAGACCGCGCCTGGGGCCTCCTTACGAATCGTCGGCTAATAAACAGCGACTACTCTCAGCCTGGGTTAGAGGTAGGAGCGAACAGCAGTTTCCGCATGCGCAAAGAATATCTGCCGGCCCCACCTGCCGCTCACTGTGGGCGGAGCCTCCAGGGCGGAGTCTCGCTCCGCCTCTACTAGCTTCAAGACTGTTTCGTAGCAATCTTGAGTTCGCGTATTCTTATTCCGAAAAACTGGTATGTGAAGCCACATATATAATCTGAAGTTCATTTGCACATTTTTCTCACTCCTCCTTTTCAAGAAACTTGTAGCGTCATTATTTCCATTTTACCGATGGAGAAACTGCGATCTCAGTATAGTCTTCTGCCACGAATAGGAGTATTTCACAATCCAACGCTGAAGTGTGACATGCTTTAGCATTGTCTGCCCTACCCGCTTATTCTAATCTTTTGTTAAGAATACATACTCTAGAGTCAGAACACTTGCGTTTAATCTTTGCTACTTCATGTATCAGCTGCAGTATATCTGGCAAGCTACTTAACGTCCTTTAAGTCAGTTTTCTCTTGTGTTAAATAAGGGTTTTGGGGATGAAGAACGCAAAGGTCTTAGAACGTGCCTGGAACGTAGAAAGTGTTATATAAGTATTAGCATTTCTCCAGCCTCTGGGTCAAGTAGGGGGAAAATGGCGGCAAATAGCTGAATAATTCACGCTAAAACGCTCAGATAACTGAAGCCAAATTATATATATATATATTTATAATTACAGTATTTCTGATTGATTAACTCCACTCTGCCACTGTGTGTGTGCTTGTGTGTACGTACCTACACAACTGCCCTGGACTTGGCCCGTCCTGTTTCACCTTCGTGATGCTCACAACCAGTCAGGTGTTTACAGGATGGTTGTAACGAGCCTGTTATGTTACTTGTTCTGCCATTTCCATAGACACTCTCTAACTCAGACTGTTATTACTTCTCCCCTGGACTACAGCAATAGCCTTCCAACTAATCTTATAGCCTCTAGACTCTCCTTTGCTTTGCTCCTCACTGCTTCCCTATCTTCTCGGGTACTTGGTTTCTAAATTTATTGTAGCATTACTCATCCTTGCTTATGGGTCTGTGTGTCCCTAACAAACTGTTGAGTTTCTGGAAAGCAGGAATTTCATTTCAGATTTTCCTTCTGCTACAACACTATGCCCCAAAATTTAGTAATCTGCGTACCATCCCCACAATCTTTGCCAGTCTGTACCCAGGTATTATTATTCACTCATTATTTTTCTAAAGCCAATTTCAATTCATGAAATAGTTTTAGCTTCATAATACTCTGTAAAATCAAGTTTATTGTACTCTTTTTAAAAAAGATTTTATTTATTTATTTTTAGAGAGGGAAGGGAGGGAGAAAGAGAGAGAGAGAAACATCAATCTGCAGTTGCTGGGGGTCATGGCCTGCAACCCAGGCATGTACCCTGACTGGGAATCGAACCTGCTACACTTTGGTTCGCAGCCCACGCTCAATCCACTCAGCTATGCCAGCCAGGGCTAAGTTTATTGTACTGTTTATTCTTATTCTGGTACACATTAACATAATAATCACAAAGAAGTCTAAATGTCCATCCACGTATCACTTAAAATCATGTCACATACTACATACCACAACAGTGCAGAGCATAACCATTACACAGAGACATTAATTTACTGTTCAGCTGATATTTGCATGATACAAAATTGTTATAGGTCTGTTTGATCCACACTTCATCTATTACCTCAAGCCATACATCCTGCAGGAAGCCTCTCCCCAAAGTTTAGGTTAGGTGACTCCTCTCTCATGTCTTCCTTTATCACTCTATTCTTGCCAATAACACAGTGTCTCTGACAATACATTGTATTTTTTAATAATTCTTTACTTGTTTGTCTTCCCTCTATACATTTCATGGCAGGGACTAGAAATTTTATCTTCTAGGTCTTCTATCTCACTGCTATCATGGAATAGTCACTTACTAAATGTTCGTTGAATGAATTTTTGCCTTAGTTTAGGCACCCCAAAAGGCAAATCCTGGAACAGTGATTTGGGTTCTGATAGTTTATTTGAGAAGAGTTTCCAGGAAACAATTGATGGATCAGAGTGAGTGAGAAAAGAAAGAAGAAAAAGATAATATAAGCATCCATTATTGAAGGTAGTGCTTATTTCTTGAGGACCTTTGAGAAACATGCAGCATGCCCATATACATCTTGAGGTTGGAGCATTCATCACTTTCATCCTGTACAACCTTGTTGATGTTTTCTCTGGGGCTGTTAACTCTCTGTCCTCTTGAATTATCCTTGTGCACAAGGACAATAGAGAGGTCTTCCTTACCTGATGTAAAAAAAGTGGCACAATCTGTGGGCAGATGTGTTTCATAATGGAGAAACAAAGATAACTTAAGCAGTGTAAATCTGATCTTTTCACCATTTTCAATTCAGGAATGGAATCTAGAAGTCATAAAACCTGTAAAGGAGAGATATTGTGTGTGTGTGTTTCTGATGAAATTAGAAAGTCTAATGAAATGTTTGATGAGTTTAAGATTCAGAGGCTAGAGACACCACACAGAACACTTTTATCCTTCTGAGTTTTGCTTATGTTTAGTTTGATCACTTCAGACGTGCTCTCCTTAGTTTTTCTGAGTGTGCTGCCATCTGGTGGTGGTAGGTGTCATAATCACCAAGTTCAATCATAAGATGCAGATAGCAAGGATAGATGTTTCTCCTAATGTTTGTAACCTTTTACAAACTGATTGAAGACTCATTGCTCAGAAATCCCCATGGCTCATTCACTTACTTATGAAGGTTTCTTCCCAATATGTCACCATACCACCATGGTCTTCCAGAACCATCCTACATTTATTCATTAAGTGTCCTACTGCACTCACCACGGCATTTCCTACCTCCTTTCTCTGCTCTGTTTTCAATCATCCATCTTTTAAACACAATTCTTCCCTTCTGTGTCCTTTATTTTCCTTCAGCTCTTGTTTGGCTGGATTTTATTGTCAAGTCATTTTTTTTTTCCAGAAAAGGCCTGTGGATATTTTCCTCCCGAACTTTTGTTTTGTTTTTTAAATGGTTGGAAACACTGGCTTGTTGCTTCTTTCTTGAACAACGTCTTGCCTAATACAATATACAAGAAAACAAAACACATTCTAGGTATTTTAAGAAAAAAGATAACAAAATGGCTGAAAAGACTAAAGATGCAAACAGGAAGGGAGAATTTTGTTTGGGGTCACGAATATCAGGAAGTTCACCACCACTGAAGGTGGCTGGGGTGCTAAGCTGCCACCATTATTGCCAAAACCAGAAGAGAAAGAAACCTTTCTTCTACCTTCTAATCTCTGACAAGAAGAAAAAACTGAGATGTTCTAAACTTAAAAAAAAAAAGCTGCTGGAGAATGGGAGAAAGACAGAAACATTAGGCTGTTAATAGCTGTGGACAAGCTCTGACAATTCCTGTAATCCCAGGAGTCTCTGCTTCTTATTTACATATGAACTTTCTGATCTATTGCCCAAAACTAATCCACAAGAGTGGACATTTTTTTTGAGGACGCTGATGCACCTATCCCAGAACTAGCCCCACTTCACCTTCTTCCATCCCCTTTGTCTATAACTAATCTAAATCCTTTCAGAAAGGCTAACATCTTCCTGCCCCCATTTGATGTATTAAAAACACTTGGAAAATTCTGGGACAAAGGACATATCTTTCCTGCCTAGCCATGCTGTGGGTAGTTTAGGCCTTACACCCCAAGCCCAATCTTTTTCTCTTTGTTAGCAATGTTCCCTAGTAAAACATTTCTTTTAAAACAACTTTTAGCCTTGGAAGTTAATGTGGGTTTGTTTGTTCAATGGTTCACAAGTGCATTTCTCATTTGCAAAACGTAATTCAGACCTCAGCTAGCAAAGGGTGTCTAGGAAATGGAATGTAGTTCCTTTTAATTTCTAGAACTGGAAATACATAGGTGGGCCAGGAACTATCTCATAGTTCTTGATATATAAATATATATCATATGTTTATGATATCATATGTTTATGATATATATTTAAGTGTGTTTCCTTAAAAAGGAAACCAGAAAATCCCTTATATAACCAGACTAAAATGATCAAAATCAGAAAATTAATACTGATATAATACTAATTTACAGAGCTTATTGAGATTTTGCCAGTTAACCTAATAATGTCTTTTATAGCACCATATTGCATTCACTTATAATAAATCTTCAGTCTCCTTTAATTTTTAATATTTCTCAATCTCATCTTATATTTCATGATTTTTTTGGTAAAAAAAAGGCAAGTTGTTTTTAAAAAATCTTTCCCAATTTTAATTTGCTTGCAACTTTTCAAGACTAGATTCAGGTTATATATTTTTGGTAGAAATACAATAGATGTAATATATGTCATATCAGAATGCATATGATGTGGTTTGTCCATTCCTGGTAAGATTACCTTTGAACATTTAAAGTGGCGTGGCCTGACTTCCATCTAGATGGAGGCATAGGTAGTCATGCCATACCTCCACGCACAACCAAGATTAGAACAACAACAATTTAGAGGTAGAATAACACCCAGAACTGATAGAGAATTTATCTGAATGGAAGTCGGACAACCAAGAAGTTGAAGTAGACCCGTTCATCCAGACTGGTAGGAGGGGTGGAGAGGAGCAGCCGGGCACCGGTCTCAGTGTGTGGAGATCTGGGAGAACTGGGCGCTGTGTGGGAGCCTGTTAGGCATCTGGGGCATACAAAATTGCAGTGGGTGGACCTTGAGTATGCAAGCAGCAGCTAGCAGACCCAGTGAGGTGGCAATTGTGGACCAGGACAGAGCACGCAACCCAGGATCCCAGAAAAGGGACTGAGGTCCCAGGATGACAGAGCTACCGCCATTGTTCCCGCCCGTCCCCGCCCAAACATACAATGTCACAATCTAGCAACTGGGGTGCCCAGCCCCGGTGAACACCTAAGGTTCCGCCCCTCACCATAACAAGAGCGACCAACCAAAAAGAGAGAGAGAGAGAGAGATGTCTCAAACAGAAGAACAGATCAAT